GGCTAATCCCTTGCATCTCTGCCACGCACGGAATCGGTTGAAAAAATACTGTTAAAAAGGTCTAGTCTATTCGGTGCATTGTTTTCACGGCTATTGTTATGCTGATTCACCTGGAACCGTGGTCCAGTGGAAAAAGCTTAGGCTTCCTTATCATGACACTGAGTCAAGTCCGGTTGAGCGAAGTTAGTACCGGGATGGGTGACCTGAGACTTATTAAAAAATTAGACCTACTAAGAAATTTTTTTGCATTTTTTTTTACATAGCTTTAACAATCGATTTAAATCCGATGTCTTAATTTACGTTAATAAATCTTCGAAAATTGAAAAACTGCAGCGCATTTAAAATCTGCGTTACCAGCCGTTTGTAATCAGTACTACTAGAGAGTTCAGTTTAGATTTACGTTCACGGCAAACGTGAAACGTCAGTTGACCATTTAAAAATTATTTCAAATAGCTTAAGAAGAATCTCAAAAAAATTCCAAGCATAGTAGAAAAACAAAAGAATATTTGTCTTTGGCGAGAAGGTTTGTAAAAGGTAAAGTAAAGTACAGGAAAACGATGAAAACGTGGTCACGTTTGCCGCTTGCGGGGTGAAAAAAAAGTCAATCTAAAACTCTCTATTAGCAAAGTACCACGAAGCAAATCGCGTTTGTATCCTGTGTCGAAGAAAGACACAAATTAACCTCAAACTTATCTTGAGTTCAGTCTCATGCATCTATTTTGACATATGGCGCAGCAACTGACTCGTCCTAATCAGCAAATCGTTTCTTTTTGAGTATCATCTCGTACTAGGTATATCACTTGTCTATGACCTATAGGATATCCCTTACTCTGATTTAGGAGTATCCTTACCTGAACTAGGAGTATCCCTTATACCTAATCAGAAGTTATATCTCTTACCTGAACAAGGAGTACGTATATCAACTGACCTGATTTAGGAGTATCCCTTCACCTGATTTAAGAGTATCGCTTAACCTGATTTAGGAGTATCCGTTCACCTGATTTAGGAGTATCCCTTCACCTGATTTAAGAGTATCCATTCACCTGATTTAGGTGTATCCCCTCACCTGATTTAAGAGTATCCATTCACCTGATTTAGGTGTATCCCCTCACCTGATTTAAGAGTATCCATTCACCTCAATTAGGAGTATCCATTCAACTGATTTAGGAGTATCCATTCACCTGATTTAGGAGTATCCATTCACCTGATTTAGGAGTATCCATTCACCTGATTTAGGCGTATCCCCTCACCTG